CTGACATCCAGAGTCTTCCTGACGACATTGGAGTGCTGCTGCCACGTCTCCAGGAGCTGACCAGCGATTGTGAAAATCTCGCCAATCTGCCTGACGGGTTCAATTCCCTCACCTCCCTGCAGAGGTTGACAATCTCCCGGGGCAAGCTGACCAGCCTGCTCGAAACCTTCGGAGAGTTACCCGCGCTGACATCGCTGTCGCTCGATCTGCCGGAGCTCACGCATCTCCCAGATTCGTTCTGCCTGCTCACTGCTCTGAAGATCCTGAATCTGACCAACTGCAAAGCCCTCCGCAGACTACCTTCACGTCTTAGCGGATTAACGGCCCTCCAATCTCTCAGCGTCTTCAACTCTCCAATCTTGAAGCTTTCAGAAGACATTGGAGACCTGACCAACCTACAGACTTTCCACCTGAATAAAGTCTACGCAGAGCTCCCATCAAATCTCACACGGCTCTCCTCACTCACAAGCCTTCAAATCTTCCAGAGCACTCTAAGTGAGCTTCCAGAGGGCATCGGGAAGCTGAGAAACCTGCGCGTGTTGTTCCTCCTGCCTGATTCGAATGCCCTCCCTGACTACAAGCTCCCAGAGTCTGTCACCGACCTTGTGAGCCTTGAGATACTGAAAGTTGGCTGCCTCACTGCAATGCCCAGGAGTTTGAGCAGCCTTGTAAGGCTGAGGGAGCTGATGCTGAGCAAGACCCCGCAGCTGCCAGAAGCCGTAATGACCCTGCCAACATCACTCGAGGCACTAAGCGTGGGGAGCTACCAGCTGCTCGTTCCCCTGCTGGAAATCCCAGCACTGCCTCGGCTCAGGGAACTGAGCCTGACAAGTGTTGCCCTGCTGCGCGGTCTGGAAACCAGCATTGTTCTTCCGTCCCTGGAGCACTTGGAGCTGGTGCTGCCACGGGATGCAGAGGATCTCCCAGTGCCACTGGCAGCCGTTTCCAACATCCGCAGCTTGACAATTCGGGATGCTGGTCGCTTGTTGAAGCTTCCGGAAGAGGTTGGCACGGCGCTGCTGCAGCTGAGGCAGCTGCGTGTCGAAAAGGCTCAAGAAATGGCAATGCTGCCAGCGGCTGTTACGCAGTTACAGTGTCTTACATCCATCGAGATCCATGCTCCCAGATTTCAGTTCCTCCCAGAGGGCATTGGTGCTTTATCGAGATTGCGCGAGCTGAATCTGGCTGACTGCTTGAGTCTCAAACAGCTCCCGGCTTCTCTCACGCAGCTCTCCTGCCTTCATCATCTGAACCTCCGCAACACCTCCATCAGCTCCTTGCCTCCCAACTTTTCTCGGCTGAGCCGGCTCAAGAAGCTTGACCTGTATAGATGCAAGCAGCTGGAGGCTCTTCCTGATGATTTCACGCAGCTCAAGATGCTTCATAGCCTGAGTTTTGAGGGTTGTAACAAACTGTTGGATTCAAGAAGCTTTCCCATGGGTGTGATGGGTATGTACGGTTTGGATCTGGAGACTGGGGAAGAAGATGGTGATGGGGCCTGAATGGTATGCAGATTATGTGGTCGGAAGTTTAGTTGTAAAAGGATACGGTGAGCACGTCACAGGTGGTTTGCTCGAGACATCCGCAGGAGAGTTGCATGCAACCGCAACGTCATCATCATCAGAAGAGAAAGCCTTGGCTCTGAAGCGGCAGCGGCGGTAGCGGCGGCGGCGGCGGCAGCAGCAGCAGCAGCAGCGACGGCGGCGGCGGTGGCAGCAGCAGCAGCGGCGGCGGTGGCGGCGGCAGCGGCGGCGGTGGGGGCGGCAGCAGCGGCGGCGGCGGCGGTGACAGCGACAGCAGCAACTGCCGTAGCGGTGGTGCTATCAGCACTTGCAGTATCGACAGCAGCGCCGCCTCTCCCTGCTCTCCCGCCTCCTCCTCCTCTTCCTCTACCCCCTCCTCCTCAACAACTGCGAGAGGCTGTCAGGATCCATCCCCTCGGGCCCGCTCTCTGCCATCAAGGAGAAGATTGCGAACATTAACCGCCAGCTCCACCACTCCAGGACACCGCTCGCCCAATTGGAGAAAGGCGGCAGCTCGCTGCTGTGGCTGTAAACGTGGGGCGGGGGGAGGAGTGGAGGAGCAAGAGGGGGGTTGGGTACAAGGTGAGGGGGGAGGAGACAGGTGGGTTGGAAGGAGACGGGTGTGGAGTGGTAGCAGCGGAGGGAAGTATGGCGAGCAGGTGTGTGGGGTGAGGGCTATGCATGGTAACGACAGGAGGAGCTGTGGTGGTACCTCAACCTTGCCATGCTGAGGCGATGATGTTTGTGGCTGATGGTGTGGGGAGAAAGTGGGGGAGGGGGAGGTGAGGTGGTAACCTTGCCTTTCTGAGGCAATGGTGTGACAGGTTGTGGCGAGAAGAGGGGGGGAGGGGGAGGGGAGAGGCGGGGGGCTGTGGTGGATTGCGCTGTTGTACGTACTGACGAGGGGGATGAAGGGGTATGTGCAGATTGTATTGTAGAGGCGTTTGGGTATGGCACAGGCTGTACTGGAGCCTGGGGAGGGAGCAGAGCAGAGCACATCGGAGTGGGAAGGGGAGGAACCTCTCTTTGATATGTGCGCTCTGGAGAGGATGCTAAGCTGCAAGCATGAATTAAGGTGGGTGAGCTAGGATTGGTGTTTGGAGGTGGTTTGCAGGTGGAAAAAACATTTGAGCATGACAAGCAGTAGCCATGGGAGTGTGGGGTGAAAGTACTGGGTCACGAGGGAAGTAGTGCGAGTACCTTTTCTTCACATTTTTGCGTTCGAGAATTAGATGCGGTGGCAAGCCGGTTTGAATGAGTGAGAATGGATTGAGGGGACTTGTTGTAACATTGTGCGTTGGAGAAATTCCTGAAGTGCCAAGGGTGATTGGAGGTGGTTTTGGGGTGATTTGGGTTGCATGAGTGTGGTAGTTGCATGTGATAGAAACACTTGAATACCCACTGGACTGTGGTGAAGACGTGATGCTTCTGGGGCACAAGGGGAATAGAGTAAGTTTCAGACAAGTGTTTGCTGGAAAAGCAGCTGAAGCTGTAAGTGGGATGAAGAAAGGTGGAAGATTGAGATGACTTGTGAGTATGCACTACTTCTGATGCATGGGCATGGGTATTGTACGGGCCATGTCATGGGTATGGTGTGAGATGGTATGGATTGTATATGACGGATATGGTTTGGATATTGTATGGTTGTATGCGTGTATGGGCATGGGTCTGGACTGGGCAGGAGTCTGGTGGCGGATATGGGCATGGGTCAGGCGAACATCATGACGTTTGTGCACGCCACAGACAGTGCCACTGGATCAAATCTCTCAATGCGGAAGAGCAACTCGGAAGAGCAACTCGGAAGGCCAGAGCTCTCCTTATAGCCCTCGGATGCCCGCGTCTGCCTCTGGCCTGCCCATGCCTGAGCGGGTCGTGAGGTGCCATTTGGCGGATCGCTTGCACCTAAGCCCTTTTAGCATGTGAAATGGGTAATTTAACCACCCCATTGTAGCTGTCATGTGTCATTAAGCCCACCATCTGGGCGTCCCCTTGGGAGAAAGAAAAACGTTGCCCAAACGTTGCCCATTCCTCCCCTTCCCCCACCCACCCACACCCCCAGTTCGTCCAGCGCATTTTTGAGTCGACTCAAAAATACCCCCAGCTCGTCCGGCGAATCATGGTGGCAGGGCGCTATGGCGTGCGTCTCTTCCCGCCCCACCTTCCTTGTTTTCCCATGCTCCTTTCTTCTCCCTCCCGCCTCCCCTGCCGCACCCATCCCCATCCCCCGCTTCCCGCCAACCCCTTTCCCGCCCACACCCGCAGCTCTTACAGCGCAACATGGGGAGGCAATACAACGTGCACCTCTCTGCGCCCTACCTCCTCCTCGGGCCCTCTGGGTGCCACGGCACTGCCACTCGCTTCCATTCCCTCTGTCCTTCTCCGAGTAGGTTGTGAGTGGTGGGGTGGATGGTGGGGAGAGGGGTGGATGGTGGGGAGAGGGGTGGATGGTGGGGAGAGGGGTGGATGGTGGGGAGAGGGGTGGATGGTGGGGAGAGGGGTGGATGGTGGGGAGAGGGGTGGATGGTGGGGAGAGTGGCGGATGGTAGGGAGAGTGGCGGATGGTGGGGAGAGTGGCGGATGGTGTGTTGCCAAGGCGGTGGGTTCATGCTTGATGGTCTCTCCTTTGCCCTTCCACAACTCCTCCCTCCACACTCACATCCTCACTCACCCTACTTTTCTTTCCACCCCACACCCTCACTCCACCACCCCCCCCCCCTCCCCTCCTCTCCCCGTTCCATCAGGTGTGGTTCGACATGAGTGCAGCCAAGGCGGCAGGGGACGTTAATGTCGTCATTCTTTCCGCCGTGTGTGGCGCAGGCAGCTCATGTGGCCGCCGATTAATATCTCGCCACCTGGCAGATGGTGATTGGCGATTTGTGCTCATGTGCATGCTGTTGAGTGGCAATCTACCAGCATTGCTACCAGCAGCACCGTAGCAGCGGCACGTTCCCGCAGAGTTCTGAGTTAACTGAGAAGTCAGTGCTGAACCAGTGTTGGTAGTCCCGTTATTTTGCCGCTCAACACCAGTGCTGCTGCTTCCCCCAAGGCTGTTGGCTGCAACGCATGTCACCATCGGCCATGATAAAAAGCTGTTCACTCCAGAATGCAGCTGCTGGTTGTTTCGTTACTGGTGCCGTATCTTGTTCCACGGTATCGTATGAACGTTGTTTTGCTGTGCCTTGTTTCAAGGTGGATATCTTGTCCCCCCAAGGCAGCACCATCCTTCACGGTACACTGCATTTTTTAATTTTGAATAGAGTGCATGCACGCAAAGCAGCTTTCATGTCTCGAATACGGTACCAAAACCAGGAAAGGAAAGGCTTTCTTGTACCTTTTAGCGGATTCAATCTAAACTGAGGAGGTTCTTGTCTCAACGTTAGATGGTCACATCCGTAGTAACAAGGGGAACATGCCACCCCTTCTGGGGGGAAGAGCCAGCTGACTTGTGTTCAGCAGTAGAACGACTCGTTGTGACATTCAAATATCAGGGGGGAGGAACGTGCCACCACTCTTGGTGAGCAGCAGCAGCAGACTGCCATTCAGGAAACCTCTGCACATGCACAAATTCCATAAATCCCCATTGTTGAGCGACGGGACTCGGGAACCCGGCAAGGACCTAGCGCAAGACGTGATGAGAGTGGCGATCTTGGCCGTGCACTTGGTGTATCGGCCCTGCAGCGAGGGAGAAATGATGGCAGGTGGGTGGGAAGGCAGGAAGGCGGGAAGGTGGGAAGGCGGGAAGGTGGGAAAGCGGGAAGGTGGGAAGATGGGAAGATGGGAAGATGGGAAAGTGGGAATGTGGGGATAGTGGGAAAGAGGGGGAAATGAATGGTAAGAACTGGCAGAGCACACTGCTACAGAGTCGCCTAAAAGAAAATAATCCATGCGTGCCCCACCCACCTGCACCATGCGTGCCCCACCCACCTGCACCATGTGTGCCCCACCCACCTGCACCATGTGTGCCCCACCCACCTGCCCCATGTGTGCCCCACCCACCTGCCCCATGTGTGCCCCACCCACCTGCACCATGTGTGCCCCACACCATGTGTGCCCCACCCACCTGCACCATGTGTGCCCCACCCACCTGCACCATGTGTGCCCCACCCACCTGCACCATGTGTGCCCCACCCACCTGCACCATGTGTGCCCCACCCACCTGCACCATGTGTGCCCCACCCACCTGCACCATGCGTGCCCCACCCACCTGCACCATGTGTGCCCCACCCACCTGCACCATGTGTGCCCCACCCACCTGCACCATGTGTGCCCCACCCACCTGCACCATGTGTGCCCCACCCACCTGCACCATGTGTGCCCCACCCACCTGCACCATGTGTGCCCCACCCACCTGCACCATGTGTGCCCCACCCACCTGCACCGGGGCCAGAATGGCCTCAGTCATTTGCAAGCGAGTCGAGGGCAGCCAGCCGAGTCAGCTGCACCAGATTCGCAGGAAGGGAAGGGATGGAGGTGCCTTCGAGAACCAGCTGGTGCAGCTGGGTGAGACACTCCGGGAGGTGCTGCAAGGCCTTGCAATAAAACAACTCCAGTTTGCGCAGTCGATCCAGGGAGCTTATGCCTTGAGGTAGCGCCACCAGCCGCCGTGCGTTGATCAGTAGTGACGTCAGCTTGGTGAGCTCGCATATGCTCCCCGGCAGCTCCTGCGGTGACCAAGAACGAAGATCCAGTTGCCGCAGCTCCGGCAACGCTGCTGCCAGGTTTCCCGGGAGTCTGCGAATCCCAGGCGCCTCTATCAGCAAGCTGCGCAGGCGAGGGAGAAACACTAAGGGAACTGGGAGCTCCTGGTTGCTTCCATTCAAACGCATCTCCAGCTTCTCCAGCTGCTGCAGGTGCTCCGGCTGCTCGAGTTGCACTTGCTTTTCCAGCAGCCCCATCAGCTCATTGAACAAGCTGCGTGGGTGAGGGAGAGAAGTCGAAACCTCCTCTGCCTCCTCCTCCGCCTCCTCCGCCTCCTCCTCCGCCTCCTCCTCCGCCTCCTCCACCTCCTCCACCTCCTCCACCTCCTCCGTCTCCTCCGCCTCCTCCACCTCCTCCACCTCCTCCACCTCCTCCGTCTCCTCCTCCGCCTCCTCCACCTCCTCCACTTCCTCCACCTCCTCCGTCTCCTCCTCCGCCTCCTCCGCCTCCTCCGCCTCCTGCGCCTGCTTCAGCAACTTCAGCTTCTGCTTCACCTCCCCCAGGTGCTCTTCCAGTTGCTCCTGCTTCTGCTTCAGTTGCTGCTGCAGCTGCTGCTCCTGCTTCAGCTCCTGCTTCAGCTGCTCCGCCTGCTTCAAAGTCTGCACCCGCTTCTCCACGAGCTCATTGAACGAGCTGCGCAGTTGAGAGAGAGAAGTTGAGAACTCCCCAACTTCTCCTTCAATTTCCTGCTCCATCTGCTCCAGCCACTCCAACTGCGTCAGGAACGAAAACCTCTCGGCCGCTGCAGGCCCGCATACCATGTTGACGCAGTTCAGCTTCAGCACCCTCAGCTGAGGCAGATGGGAAATGTCCACCACATGGGCAGCACCTTCCAGGAAGGGCCCCAAGCTGTAACGCACCACCTAACGCACCACCTAACTTCTTCCTAGTCTAGGTCGAGAAATGTCTCGACAGAAATCGGACTACGGGAGTTGAAGGTTGAGTTGGGAGAGAAAGGTTGGCTTGGTATTCCAAACCTCAACTTTGAGGCTTGGGACTTTCCAACCCAACAGAAGTGAGGATTGGGAAGTTTTCCAACCCAACCAAAGGAATGTGCAAGGTTGGATTTCCAACCAATGGGAAGTTGACAGTTGTTGTTACAATCCACACAAAGTTTAAAACAACCATACATTGTGCTAAGTTGGGTTTTCCCCAACCAAACTAAAGTGCCACATAGGCTCCAAGCCTATTAGCTACCCAACCATGGAAGCCATGGTTGGGAAGAGCCCCAAGGGGTATTGAGGAAGGGGTTGGAGCTCTCAAGCTCATTCCCACTTCCCAACTCCAACAATCTAACTTGGAAATGGGATTTTCACTCAAGTCTTTTGGTTCTCCTAACAAGCTCTCCTACACAACTAGACTTGTGATTCTTCAAGGACAAGCTCTACAAGAAGCTACCTACCTACTTGCTAAAGTTCCATCAACCTACTTCAAGCTCTCTTGCTCATCTCAAGCTTCAAGGATATTATCAAGGCTAGATTACCCCTTGGTGGGGTTAGTTAAGCTTGGAAGCCTTGTATCTTGATTCTATATAAGTTGTCAAGGAGGATTTATATTTAACACACGGTTGCCCGTTGTTATAAGGGCCGTGGATGTTACATTGGTATCTAGAGCTAGGGTTATCCTAAGCCTAGTGGGGATTTTGCCCCTAGAGATTTTTTTTTTTATAGATCTTGGAGTTGTGGTTTCTCTTTAAGAGAACACTCAAGATCTGGAAGCTTGAAGAGTTCAAGATCTACAAGATCTACAACTTCAACTTCAAGCTAAGAAGAGAGATTTATCTCTCTTGCCCACCTTTTGGTGGAAGACTCTCTACTATTGAGTAGTGGAGTATAAACTAAGATCTGGAGGATTTGTTGAGGGTTATTCAAGTTCTCTTTATTGAGACTTGGATAGACTCTGCCCTTTCACTAGGTGATTGGGAGTGTTAGCAACAAATCTGTTACATTTGGTAACTTTGAGTTATTCTGTAGAAGAAATTTCTTTTATAAGAATTTCTTGCTTTACCATTGAGGTGGTAAAAGGACTTTAACAGAATCAACCCAGATCTCTAAAGCTCCCTTAATCCTTATGGCATCTGGCCAAGAGAAGGACATGGCAAGGGAGGAAGGGCCCACTGCACCTAATGAGGTGGTGAACAATGCTGCTGATATTGACCTCAATCAAGATGAGGCAATGGCTGACATTGAGCTGGATGACATTGAGAACCTGGACTTGGAGGATGAGGATAACTATGTTGAAGCTGATAACCATGGTGAAGCTGATAACCATGGTGAAGCTGATAACAATGGGGAGGAGGACAACACCGGTGACAAGGAGAACACTGGTGATGAAAATGACTTCACTGAGGGTGAAGGCATGAGTTATCCTGTCTCCGAGGAGATTGTCCAACTCCAGGCTAAAGTGTCAACTCAGAATATCACCATCCTGCAGCAGCAGAAGTCCATTGATGGACTCACAAAGCTGGCTAACAAGCTTAAGGCTGAGTTGGGCGTTGTCACGAAGGAGGCTTGCCAATTCCGTCGCAGCCTGGGCACTAAGAAGCGCCAAATTGAGGAGCTTCTGGATAATTGCAACAATATGCAAGCGTCAATCAACAAGCTTTATGAGCATTTGAGGGAGATTAGGAGGGAGGGCATTTACCAGCCTCCTCCTGGGCGTAGGCCCGCTCCTGCTGCTCAGACGACACCCGCTCCGCCCGCACCTCCGGCGGTAGGCGCTGCGACGGCTATGCACCAGCCACCTCCAACTGAGAACTCACCCTTTGGGTCTCTCTCGGCGCCTCTGCCTGACTTTATCCATGGCAAGACGGAGGTGGAGCCTTGGCTTGACCTGGTGGATACCACCATGACCCTTGCGAATGTGCGCCCCGAGGCTCGCGTCCCCGCAGCTACTCGTGCATTGGATGAGGTGGCACGCAGGGCGGTGTACGGCGCTAAGAAGCAGGCGCAGGGACCGTTTGCATGGCCGGAGTTCTGCACCGCGCTGAGAGAGGCGTTCATGGTCGACCTGGAACTTCGCGGACGCCTCGAGAGTATTAAGTGCCGTGACCGTTCGGTGCAGGACTATGCGGTCGAGTTCGAAGCCGCAGCACGCTTGCTCCAAAAACCCTTGTCCGATGAGGAGATGATGCACATCTTCATGAAAGGCCTTCCTGTCAAGCTGCAGCAGGCACACGTGACAGGTGGCATGACCAATTGGACGACTTACAAGGAAATGAAGGAGCAGGTGACCAAAACGGACAACATCATTCGCACGTACGTGTTTGGCACCGATAAGCCAGGCCAGCAGCCCCGTGCTGAAGGCTCTGGTGGTCATGGGAACCGACCCCAGAATGCCACGGGTGGAGGCGGTTGGAACAAGCGGCCTTTCCAGCAGCGTGGTCACCAGCCCGGGCCGCAGGCCAAGCGAGCTAACGGATGGGGAGGGCGTGGCCCTAACACCCCAGACTTCTCCGATAAGCAGTGTAGGCGCTGTAAAAGGATGGGGCACATCGAAAAGTAGTGCCGTGACAAGCCTAAGCCAAGCGGCGCTGGACCTTCTGGAACGAAGGATTTTCATAAACCCAACTAGGGTGTGGGTACCTAGTTGGAGGAGTAGATCGACTGGATGAGGCATATGTGCTATGCGATGCTGATATATTAAATCTAGAGAAGCTTGCTGATTGCAAAGTCTCTTGTTTGTTTGCCTCTTCTTTTAATAGAAACTCTGTTTTTTATCCTCGATCGTACCCACTTGCGAACATTTCCATAGAAGCAATGCGGGATAAGTTTTCAATTATTTTCTGTGGCTTGGACATTCTGCCTTCTGTCATTGAGATTGTGAGTCGTTGCACTCAAGAGCACCCCCTAACTTCGGTCGCGTTGGTGACTCGCACAGTGAAAGGCGAATTATTCCATGCGCTTCGTGGATGGCCGGTCCTAGCGGCGTGGGACAAGGGACACCATGTGTGGTGGACCAACTCTCAGTCACATGGACGCGCTCGTCACAACGTCAAGGTGTACTTCAAACCTTCGACGAGTATTGTGGCATGTCCTATTCGCCCAAAGCATCAACAAAATTTGTTGCTTGTGGGTAGCGTGAACGGGGAAAACGCAAAAATCCTTGTTGACACGGGTGCAACTGTTTCCCTCTTTGACGAAAAGTGGGCCACAGCACGCACGATCCTCGTTGAAGGACCGTCTTGCCCCATTCGCCTTGGTGATGATAGCATCATCCCAAGCAAAGGGCAGACACGGATCAACATGGAGATTGAGGGTTATCACGAAGAGATCTGCGCGTATGTTTTACCCCTTCTCGCAGGCGTCGACCTTGTCCTTGGAATGGATTGGCTTCGAGCGAATGAGGTCAAGCTCGACTTCCAGGACAATACGGTCTCATTCACAAGGAATGGTGACACTGTCCAGTGGCAAGTGCCTAAGGACTTGATCTCGAACGGGCAACACACGTCGGAACGACCCGATGTGAGTTTTGCGCTCGCAAACGAGTTCGGACAGCATGTTCGACAAGCCGATACCTTCTTTGTGGTACAGCTCGAGAATGCTGAACACGGGACGCCTGGGGTCGAGGAATTCCCGCCTCAGATGAAAGCACTGGCAGACGAGTTTGCGGAGGTTTTTGAGTCCATCCCAGATAGCCTTCCTCCGGACCGTGCAGTCGGTCACACCATCCCAGTGGAGCCTGGAAAACTTCCACCTTTTCGACCTCTGTATCGCCTCAGTCCAGCTGAGTACGTGGAGGCTAAAGAACAAATTGAGGAGTATCTCAGAAAGGGATGGATTGAACCAAGCGCATCACCTTACGGAGCGCCGATCTTGTTCGTGAATAAAAAGGGCGGAGGGTTACGAATGTGCGTAGACTACCGTGCTCTGAACAAGATAACGGTGAAGAACAGATATCCTCTACCGAGAATAGAGGACCTGTTCGACAAACTCCAGGGTGCCCAGTGGTTCAGCGCATTGGACCTCGCGCAGGGGTATCACCAACTGCGCATCACTGAGGAAGATGTACCCAAAACGGCTTTCCGATCGCCGTTTGGTCATTTTCAGTGGCGAGTGCTGAGCTTTGGCCTGACCAATGCTCCTGCCTCTTTTCAGAGGGCTATGAATGATGTCTTTCGCGAGGCGATTGGACAGTTCGTTCTGGTCTATCTGGATGACATCTTGGTTTATTCCAAGACGGAAGAGGAGCACACGCGACACCTTAAGTGGGTGTTGGGGAAACTACGGGAGCATAAATTCTATGCCCGTTTGTGGAAATGTCCTACAAACGCGAGTTGGAATATCTTGGCCATCTCGTGGGAAATGATGGTCTCAAAGTAGACCCCAAGAAAGTTGTCGCAGTCCAGAACTGGCCGGTGCCACAAGATGTGGGTCAAGTCAGGTCGTTTTTGGGACTGGCGAACTATTTTCGTCGATTCTTGCAGAATTATTCTACCATTGTTGCTCCATTAACGGCCCTCACTCGCAAGAGTAGCGCTTGGCAATGGACACAGCAATGCCAAAAGGCATTCGACGAGGTCAAGCGAATGCTGACCAACGCTCCGGTACTGGTTTTACCAGATCCGACGAAACCCTATGAGGTGGTTACTGACGCCTCATTAATAGGGATAGGGGCTGTCCTCTTGCAAGAGGGGAGACCAGTGGCATTTGAGAGTCGAAAGCTCTCCCCGGCAGAGCAGCGCTATACGACGTCCGAACAGGAGTTGTTGGCGGTCGTTCATGCGCTACGCACATGGCGTTGTTATTTGGAGGGTGTGGATTTTGTGGTTACGACCGACCACTGTCCAAACACCTACTTCTCCACTCAAGCCACGCTTGCTCGACGTCAAGCCCGATGGGCGGAACTCCTTAGTGGGTTCACTTTCGATATTCGATATCGAGCAGTTTCGACAAACCTGGCTGACCCCCTCAGCAGACAGCCGATAGGGGCAGCAACACGGCTAGACGACACAGAGGATGCGGCAGTATTTTCTGCTTGCTTCAGTGTCCTAGCAACGGCTCGAGTGAGTGAGATTACCTTCAGTGGTTTTCTGAAACGCATCCGCACAGGGTATCAAATTGACTCCGGGTTTCAGAACCCACGAAACACGAAGGAACTCAAGTGGGAGCACGAGCTCTGGTGGCATAAGAAGGAGATTGTTGTACCTCACGTAGGTAACCTGCGGAACGATATTCTGGAAGAAGTGCATGCCACTAAGTACGGAGGGCACCTAGGGGTCAAAAAGACCAGGTGGGCCTTGAGTGATGTGTACTGGTGGCCGGGATTGGGCACTGAGGTCCAGCAATTCGTGGCGCGCTGCGACGCATGCGCACGAAATAAAACGGACACAAAGAAGCCTGGTGGTTTGCTTCAACCACTCGAGATCCCGAATGAACCTTGGGAGAGCGTATCCTTGGATTTTATCACGGATCTTCCCAAGACTCGCGATGGCCATACAGCGATCCTAGTATTTGTGGATCGTCTGACAAAGATGGTGCATTTCGTGGCTACGACAACTGACGTATCTGCGAAAGATATGGCCAAATTGTTTGTGGCACACGTTTTCCGCTTACACGGGTTACCACGTGTATTGGTGTCCGACCGGGATCCGCGCTTCACAAGCCGATTCTGGCAAGAAGTCACACGGACACTAGGAACGAAGCTTAAGATGTCATCGGCGTTCCACCCACAAACCGATGGGCAGACGGAACGAACAAACCGGACACTTGAGCAGATGCTTCGTTCATTCATTGGCCCAACTCAGGATGATTGGGACGAGTTGTTGCCTGTCGTTGAATTCGCAGTGAACAATTCAGTTCATGAAGGTACACGTGAGAAACCTTTCATTCTGAACTACGGTCGGCATCCCACAACACCTGCTACGCATGGGATTGGTGGATTGAAAATTCCAGCCGCTAAAGACTTTGTTGGCAAGCAGCAAGAAGCGCTTAAGTCTGCTCGCCATTGGCTGCAACTCTCTCAGCAGCGACAAAAGTCTTACGCCGACATGAAACGCCGGGAAGTATCATTTGAGGTCGGAGACAAAGTTTTGTTGAGCACGAAAAACATTCGTCTCAAAATCCCTGGAGCACGAAAGCTGTTCCCTCGATGGATTGGGCCCTTCGAGGTGATCAAGCGTGTTGGTGTGGTAGCTTACAAGCTTAAACTGCCTGATACATTGCAGATTCACAACGTCTTCCATGTGTCTCTGTTGAACAAGTACGTTGCAGAGGGCAAGTACTTGCCGCCACCAACGATCGTCCTGGGGGAGGAACTGTTTTATGAAGTCGAACGAGTGCTGATGCATCGTGATCGGCAACGCGGCCGCAAGACAGTACGAGAGTTCCTCATCAAGTGGAAAGGCTACGGACCTGAACACAACTCATGGGAACCAGAAGAGCATTTGACTGAAACTGCAGTTCAGTCATACATGACAGATCTGGCCCGACGAGCTGCCGCACAACCAGTGGATGGTGTTGACCCTGGTCGTAATGTGACACGGCGTGCTCGTAGCGCTCGTCCTAAGAAGCACCCTAAGGCAACGGGGACGTTGCCACCTAGGGGGGGAGGAGTGTAACGCACCACCTAACGCACCACCTAACTTCTTCCTAGTCTAGGTCGAGAAATGTCTCGACAGAAATCGGACTACGGGAGTTGAAGGTTGAGTTGGGAGAGAAAGGTTGGCTTGGTATTCCAAACCTCAACTTTGAGGCTTGGGATTTTCCAACCCAACAGAAGTGAGGATTGGGAAGTTTTCCAACCCAACCAAAGGAATGTGCAAGGTTGGATTTCCAACCAATGGGAAGTTGACAGTTGTTGTTACAATCCACACAAAGTTTAAAACAACCATACATTGTGCTAAGTTGGGTTTTCCCCAACCAAACTAAAGTGCCACATAGGCTCCAAGCCTATTAGCTACCCAACCATGGAAGCCATGGTTGGGAAGAGCCCCAAGGGGTATTGAGGAAGGGGTTGGAGCTCTCAAGCTCATTCCCACTTCCCAACTCCAACAATCTAACTTGGAAATGGGATTTTCACTCAAGTCTTTTGGTTCTCCTAACAAGCTCTCCTACACAACTAGACTTGTGATTCTTCAAGGACAAGCTCTACAAGAAGCTACCTACCTACTTGCTAAAGTTCCATCAACCTACTTCAAGCTCTCTTGCTCATCTCAAGCTTCAAGGATATTATCAAGGCTAGATTACCCCTTGGTGGGGTTAGTTAAGCTTGGAAGCCTTGTATCTTGATTCTATATAAGTTGTCAAGGAGGATTTATATTTAACACACGGTTGCCCGTTGTTATAAGGGCCGTGGATGTTACATTGGTATCTAGAGCTAGGGTTATCCTAAGCCTAGTGGGGATTTTGCCCCTAGAGATTTTTTTGTCAGAATGTTGTATTTGTCTAGCCTGTAGTGGGGTACTCTATAGCGAGTACAGCCCAATCTAGGGTTTCCTATATGTACTCAACTGCTTGCTAGTGAACATCCTCCTTTCTTCATTCTTACTTTCTACTGCTGGTTCT